AGCCTTATAGCGGCAGTCGGATATGCGCCGATGAAGTTTTATGCGTCATTGTCGAACATTATTTTATGTGCTGGCCGATGTCGTATTGTGTCAGTTCCATTCGTGACACTTGTTATGCTTGTTCGTCATGTTTTTAGTGCATTTTGAATGCTAGGATATTGTGTACGCCATCATAACAGGCGAAGCAAACACTCTACATGGGTCACCAGCCATCACCTGACAACATCGACGAGGCGGCTGGCAGTAAATAAGCTAAGAAACAAGTTCATGCTGAATTCGTATGGCATTTAGCAGCCAACTGATGAGGGCCTAATAAATGGCACAAGGATCCAATAAGACACATCGGGGCCCAGACGAAACGGGTCGACGGCCCCTGTTCAGTACCGGGCCCCTGGCTGATATCGTGTCTTTCACTGCCTCACTTTGGCCCCTTTCATAAATCACCTTCTGGTCACAGGGTCCGACTCACGCAGGATGTCCTATGACAGGGCTCCCTGGCCGGTACAGGGTTCCCCATTGTCTCAGGGATTCCGACCAATGCTACAGGTCTTATGACAGACACTCGTGGGGTCTGACCTTGACCTTGCTTGGAAAATGCCCCCCCCCTCCCCCTCCCCTTGGCCGACATGGCGCCGACTGCATGGCATTTGCGTTTAGTGGGCGGCATGAGGACATCCAAATCGGGGGCGGGGTGGGTGGGGGTGGGAAGCTTGGCGCAGGAGGCCCTCTTGATGAATGACGTTTGTGGGCCCTTGCCAACAGGACTGGGGCTCATTAACATGTCATCCGACCAGCCATTAGGGCTCATTGAACACCTCATTGGGGTCAGTTATGTTCGGTTCCCAAGACCCCTCCAACCCTCGAGACCTTCGGGAGGTGTATTTCCCCTGTGCCCCTTGCCCGCGCCCCCAGGTCCATGAGCAGCCAGGGGAGCCCTTGGGCGGTGGAAGTGCCTTTGAGCTGCCAAAAGGCCCCTGTGCAGTTGAGGACAGTGGGCACTGAGGGGACAGTGGGCGCTCGATACACCAGATACAGCGGCCATATGGGCCCTGAGCACACAGGTCCCTGAGTAGACAATGCGACCCCCCGCGGGGCCAAAGAGCCCTTGGGTAGTTCCGAGATCCTTTTGGTGTTCTTAACATACTTTGAAAGACCAGGGGCTCAAAGTAGCTATAAATTAAACCAACGAGAGTGTTTTCTGCCAGCAACGGCCAGACGAGCCCATAGTTGACATACGGAGCCTATTGAATATCTATGGATTGTACTTCGCTTCGGCCTAAATTCCTATCCTGCAAAACCTATTTTAGAGAGATCTCATTCAGTACGTTAATTTTCATCCGAGGCGCGTGAGCTGAAAGGTCCCTCCGAGGTAATAATGCAATCACAATGGCAGTTGAACATCCCAGTAATCAAACTAATACAGACCATGAGTGCAGAGTTGAAGTGTAAGTCAGTTGCATTCGCCGCTGATCCGTGCATGTTCGTCCGAATATGAACATAAAATACGATGTGAAAATAAATCGTTCCATTTCGGCCATACGAAATACCACCCCAATTGCCAGTGAACCAAAATCAGAACAAGTAGGTAATTCACGTATATATGCACCTAGCTGGTGACAGGTCATGCAAGTCATCTCTCTCGGGATGCGCGAAATATTGTGCGTGATTAATGCATTTTGAGGGTGGCAGCAGCAAAAGTGCGTCTTTACCGCAAGGCTGCACTTTTCACTGACATGTATGGTAGCACACTGGCACAACGAGACCATTACAGATTGCGAGGTTCGAGATATACTAAGTAATTTTTCGAGGCGGCTTTACCGCAGATAACAGCACTGGCGTGTACTAATGAATTGTTACAAGAGTTGTTGATTGCATTTGCGAGGAACATAATGCATGTAGATAAGTCAGTCCATCGTAAAATAATCCATCGTAAAATAACCAGGAGAATGTGGAGATCGATGTGCTATTTCAGCTACATGCCTTTATCGACTACTGATATTCGTTTCGATAAAGGCATGTAGCCGAAATATCACATCCATCTCTCCATGCTCGAGAAATGGAGAGATGTGAGAAATAAGACTATTAGTACTGTCTTATCGATCAATTGGTATGTCCAAATTCTAGATAATTGACGCGCTGCCGGGGCAGTTTGTTCGGCATACCTCAGCTGTTGCATTTGTGGAGCCCATTTATCAATAAAATTACAAGAAATGTGACAGAATATAATACAACAAAACATGGCGACCTTTAGAACCTACAAACACAACTCCATGGATAGGTCTAAAAAAAGCCCATTGTAACTCCGTGGCGCGTGCGTTTAAATCGCTGGTTTGGAATACACCGTTCTCAATCACCCGGGGCGTCACCAGATATTCCGGCTAGTTGTACGTACTCCAGGGAGCTGACCCCACGTTTTGATAAATACCGGAAAATACATCGTTTGGTAGGTTTGCAAATTTCGCTGGCTTTGCCCTCTTCAGCTACCACCACCAACATTTGGATATTGGCGCCACACTATGTCACACGAGTCATTACCATGTAAGATTAATACACAGGTTACCTCTTCTGCATTTTGATCATCCAGTGTAAGGTCAGTGACCTAGAAGACGCAGCTTTCTGCTGGTTTCTTCATACGCAAGGTGACAATAGCTAGTCAATGAAATCGAGGTAACACTAGGTAGTTACCCGAGTCGCGCTGTCGTGCCTGACGTCAATGGTATTTAGCAGCCAACTTTAACCTATTATGTCATTTGTTCTCCAAAATGCACATCTCAGAATGGCAAGATCCACCAGCCTCTGTTGAAAATAACCGGCGTCATGCACCCCACTACGTCTAGCACTCCTAGATGCGCAGAGGAAGGTAGTTTTGTAAAAAGCAGATCATGATCTGAAAATGAAGTGACTGAAATCCAGGCACTTACGTGCGGGTGGGGTGGGGGTGGGGGTGGGCAAGAAGCACCAGCTTACAGCGGTCACCAAAGCGAAGCGTGACCTCCTCCCCTGACGAAGTCCTGGATCCGCCCCTGCCGCACACTTAGATTGTAGGCTGGACAACAATGTCCTAGACGCGGCAGTCCGGAAGATCGTTCATGCAGAAATACCCAATGTCACCTCCTCCCAAGCAGGATTTTAGTTTGATTGAAAGGGTTGAGCCTCTGGAGCACACAATCATTGGGAAAGAAAAACAAACGTGACCTGCGTCACGCGCCGAGTGAAGCTGGACGCAAAAGCTGCCGGCTAGCAGCGCAAGTCAAGAACATCAACGTGGATGGACACGCCGGGCATCGCCCATTCTGTGGACGGGCGATAGGCATCGACATGGAGTTCGCTGGTTCTGCACAGTTTGGAGTTTGGTTGCGTGCGAGATGGTGAAAAATCACGTGATGTTTCCGATTGCGGTGTCCATCCGTTGATCCCGAGCTGGCGGTCCAGTCCGGCGATTTTCACACAGTGATCCGTAATCTTCAACGGCGATCTGTGTGCCTCAGCAACGATCCAGGTTCAACGGATCCATGTTCTTCAACGGCAATCCATATTCTTCGACGGCAATCCATAATCTTCAAGGGCGATCCATGTTCTTCAGGTTTTTCGCAGTTGAAATGTTTTCTTTTTCATGTTAAACGAACAGGGAAGATGAAATCGTGGTGGCATTGTAATGCTGTAATAAAACCCCATCTCATCAAACAGCCTTTCTGCAAATTTTCCACAATGTATATGTCACAACTCACAAAAATACGCTTCTTGTTTCTTAAGACTGTTTGAACGTTGGACCAGTGGCGGCAATTAGATCAGTCTTGAGATCGTGTGGCGGCCGGACAGGCTGGACCGTGGCCGAGTTGTGAAGCTGTCATAGTTAACGTGAGGGTCTCTCGGCATACGTCCGCGCTCAAGACCATCCTGCGATCTGTGATCGTCCCGGCTTTATCCATGATCTGCATGTTCTGTAACCATACAGCCACGTGGAAACCCAAAGGCACATCAACCGCCTCGGCGCCTGTCGACCGTCGCTTCATCGTTCGCATATCTGCAGCGTTTGGCGTACACTTGGCAATTTCAGTGGCCTAGCGACTTCTGGAGACTTCTGGGCCGACAACACACTCACCGTCACAGAAACCCTTGTCAAGTCCGGGATCACGTCCGTAACCACCCAAACCCCCCGGTTAGTCGCGTTAGCTACGGTTGTAGCCTAATGAAACTGGAGCGATACACACCGCTGCCCGGCTAGGGGTACGACTGTGTCTGGTGGCCTGCCTCATTGCTTCCGGGATTGTTGACTTTGAAGTCCACGAATCCGATTCCGCTCGTCCTCCTCCTGGTCTCATCCCTGACCAGTCGTCTCAGCCTTTGAATATCATGGAGTTTGTGATCATTGCAGTCTTCAAGAAGATATGTCGTAGTTCTGCAAAAGAACCAAGTAATGCGTTGAAGTTCTTTGACCAATGCCTGCGTTATTCGGCACATCGTGTGACTTCACACCCTATCATGAATATTTATCGTGCCATTGGCTTCCAATCAATTATGTCCTCATTTATGGCTATTAATTGATGCGTAGGTCCATTGCCGGTGACTACGGGACAGCCTCCGACTGTCTCAAAGTTCAAAGCACAAAATGCATTCGTTTTCCATTTGTCTTACACAAAGCTGTCTCAGACATCAGTACCGCGACATAAAGGCACGAATGGCATATGTACACACGGCTAACCAAACAAATGAAGCTCTACTACTGGAGTTTCATTCCTCGCTCAAGTCGCAAAATTCAAGCAGGCTCAAGTGCATGACGTGGCATCGTGGTGAGATTCAGGTTCAATGTGACGATGGCTAATGTGGCTACTGATGCTGAACAGCAAGCTTCGAAGTACGACATCACCAAGCTGGGTGGGGCGTCTGTGCCCATTTGCTGGGCACGAAGCTGCTCTGGTAACTTACAACTGACCAGCAGTATTTTGTGAACAGCAAAACGGCGTGTACACTCGACGCCAAACGGCGGCTTAGGGCCGCCCTTACGGCACGTGGTCCGGCCCCGCGCTCCGGGCCCTCGACGGCAGAGGCTTCTTCGACTCATGCCGCGAGTGGCCCCCGTTCACGCTGCGCCCAGCCGCGGGGCCGGGGGCCACAGCCGCGGGGACCGAGGGCCCCACTGCGGAGACCGCGGGCGCCGCCCGCACGCGCCGCAGCTCCACCGGCGCCACCCGCTGCGCCGCGTCCGCCGGCGCGCGGCCCGGCTTGGCCGGCGGGTCGAACGCGGCGCGCTCGTTGATCTCGGCCGTGACCGTAAGTGGCGCCGCCCTGGCGGCGGTCGGCGGCACCGCCGCGGGGCGGCGCTGCGAGTCGGACGAGTGGCTGGAGGCCGGCGAGTCGGTGTACTCGTCGGTGGCGGCCGAGCTGCCGCTGGAGGCCGGCGAGACGGGCTGCGGCCGGCAGTGGCAGCCGGCTAGCAGCGGGGCGCTGGCTGGCGTCGTCCGCCCGCAGCACGCTGTGGGAGCGTAGCGTCGCCGGAGGCTCACGCTCGTGGCCTGTCGGCCAGGGGCGGACGCCGTCAGCGGAGCACGAACAGGTCGGCACGGCTGGTGCATGCGTCACTGACATCGTCGTGCGTACATAGAAACATGTAGCGTGACCGATGCATGCGTTTAAGCCACGGAGGCTGAATTCTTCTCCACTCATCTTCGAGCGCGCACGGGCTTGTAAAGAAATGACTGAGTCAATTAAAGCTAAACAGTAAGGAATATTATTTTTAGGACAACGACATTGCACGTATCCCTGACAACGGAGAAGGGAGATCATAACCCGCTGTGTCTTGAGCCATGTAGCTGTTCTCAAAATTTGTAATTGTACATATATAACAACGTATTTAGCTTGGACATATCCAGCTCTTCAATTTCAAGGGGCTTAATTTCTATTTTGATGACATTTTATATGGCAAACGCACAAAAATCATCCAAGCTGCCCAAAGGAAACTATGTTTAAGACTCCACCGCTCCCTCCCCTGGTGGTTACACGTGTGCAGACCACGTTATCATCTGATCTCCTGAGTTGATTAGCTGTAAGAGGCGTTTGCCGAGCGCCCTTGGGTGGGACCATCCCAGCGCCCTGTGGTGGGACCATACGAGCGCCCTGGGGTGGGACCATCCCAGCGCCCTGGGGCGGGACCATCCCGCACCCTGGGGTGGGACCATCCCAGCGCCCTGGGATCGGACCATCCCAGCGCTCTGGGCTAGGGAGGGGGGCCATCCCAGCGCCCTGGGGTGGGACCATCCCAGCGCCCTGCGGTGGGGCCCATCCCAGCGTCGTCGGGTGGGACCACCCCAGCGCCCTGGGGGTGGGACGATCCCAGCGCCCTGAGGTGGGACCACCCCAGCGTCTGATGACTGCAGGGTCAGGACGGACTCGTCGGCCTCGTACGCACCTGGTTCGTCGACAGCGTCTGGGCTGTGTTTTCGGAAGCACGGCGGCACGGGTAGGCCCTCTTCCCCGTGCACAACATAGTACACCAGCAATGTCGCGCTCTGTCGGGTCATGTCAGGTCAAGTAAGACGGCTTACTAGCTTGCACCACACCTACAGCGACGCCTCTGTCGTGGTCGATCAGACCGAGCAGCCCAGGTCAGTTATAAAAAACGCAATACAGTGTACTAGCACACCTCCATCATGACATATCAGGTGGGTGAGGCCTATCTTAACAGCACGTACACTGCAGTATAGTGTCAGGCGCGCGCTCTCCACCGAGAGCTCACCAGGTCGAGTCGGGTCAGGTGAGGCGTAACAGCACGCACACTGGAATATAGTGTCAGGCGCGCGCTCCACCGAGAGCTCACCAGGTCGAGTCGGGTCAGGTGAGGCGTAACAGCACGCACACTGCAGTATAGTGTCAGGCGCGCGCTCCACCGAGAGCTCACCAGGTCGGGTCGGGTCAGGTGAGGCGTAACAACACGCACACTGGAGTATAGCGTCAGGTGCGGTTCACCGAGAGCTCACCAGGTCGAATCGGGTCAGGTGAGGCGTAACAACACGCACACTGCAGTATAGTGTCAGGCGCGCGCTCCACCGAGAGCTCACCAGGTCGAGTTGGGTCAGGTGAGGCGTAACAACGCGCACACTGGAGTGTCAGGTGCGGTTCACCGAGAGCTCGCCAGGTCGAATCGGGTCAGGTGAGGCGTAACAACACGCACACTGCAGTATAGTGTCAGGCGCGCGCTCCACCGAGAGCTCGCCAGATCGAGTCGGGTCAGGTGAGGCGCAACAGCACGCACTGCGGTAAAATGGCGGCAAGCCAACCGGGCCAGGTCGCGTCTGCACTCGGAGTTACGATGACGTCAGTGGTGCTCACCGCCGGACAACATAACGGTAAAAAAACGTTGTGACTTATGTTGGACCGCGCCATGTGAGCGTTCAACGCTCATGATGGATCTGAACAGGGTGATTACTTTGGCTAGGACAACACAGCGTATTTCATAGCAGCTCTTTGCTTATGACAACAGCTGCCTGTTTCCGCTCGGTCTTTTCACTGGCGATAGGAGCGTTAGACATTTCACAGTTCGCTGCGACAGCACAGCCTTCGCTTCCGCACCGCCTGGTTGTTTCCAGGCGGCGAGTTAATCGGCGCCGGTCATCTGTCAATTGTAGTCCGTACCGTCAGCACGCAGAAGATGGCGAAGAGGATCTCGCAGGCAAGTCCCCGGAAGTTGATGTAAAGGGCGCTGCTGACCACCAGCAGAACGAGCATCATCTCAATCATATGAGAGCCCATCATCATGTGCACCCTGCCAAAAGCACACCGGCCTGAATCGGAGGTACGATCCCGTGGTAGCGAAAGGGGAAGGGAGGGGGAGAAAAGAGTTCGTGTGTAACTATCGAGCACCTTCTGCAACTTCTTCTGAGTTGACGAATACATCAAAATCGCAGCCGGTTTAACTGACATCACGCAGCAGAACACATGTGGAAACAAAAGTGAAGTTTGCATCACGACCAGTACATGAGTGAGCAATGATAGGTTAAAGAGCGCCTTGGCCGCAGATAACATCAAGCTGAAATATAGCCAGTCACGTTGTAGAAGGACGCGACTGTGCACAAGGGCTGCATTTTCCAGGAGCGCGCGTGATCAGACACGCACACGCGCGTGCGCGAGGGCGGTGGAGCCCGTACCTTTCGCGTATCCAAGCCTCTGTCTCGCACTTGGTCATCGACACCTTGATGACGAGCAGGGCGCGTACATAGAGCAGCAAGCACGTGTCGACCAGGAGCAGCACGGCCACCGGCACCACCACGCCGTAGAAGAAGCTCGAGCTGTACAGGATCCACCAGGAGTGCAGCTCGGACCAGCCGTGCATGTACTGCGTGGTGACTGTGGCCGCCGTCACCAGCAACGGGATGCCTGAGGTCACGCGGGTCAGACGTCACTGGTGCAGCTCAGGTCACAACAGAGGTCGGCACCAACGGCTCCAGGGCATGTGCATGGCATGGGTCATACATCACTGTGGTTGTTGAGGCCGCACCGGCCAGACGTTACCAGAACAGCCGAGCTTGGCAAATCTGGCAGGTCTCGCGACACCGTGACACCAGAGGTGAGAACTCATATTAGTGCGTTACGTTTTAGGGCGCATGGGTCACCCATAACATGAGCGCCACGGATCACACGAGTCAGCCGTCACCAGAGCACCACGGATCACACGGGTCACCCATCACCAGAGCACCACGGATCACACGGGTCAGCCGTCACCAGAGCACCACAGATCACACGGGTCACCCATCACCAGAACACCACGGATCACACGGCTCAGTCGTCACCAGAGCACCACTGATCACACAGATCATCCGTCACCAGAGCACCACAGATCATACGGGTCACTCATCACATAAGCGCCACGGATCACACGAGTCAGCCGTCACCAGAGCACCACGGATCACACGGGTCAGCCGTCACCAGAGCACTACAGATCACACGAGTCAGCAGTCACCAGAGCACCACGGATCACACAGATCATCCGTCACCAGAGCACCACTGATCACACGGGTCACCCATCGCCTGAGCACCACGGATCACACAGATCATCCGTCACCAGAGCACCACTGATCACACGGGTCACCCATCGCCTGAGCACCACGGATCACACGGGTCAGACATCACCAGAGCACCACAGATCATGCAATGCAAACACTAGATCAGAGCTCCTGGGATGTCTCCGTTTCAGAGGTGTGTTATCACCAAACGCCAAGGTTGAGGCTGGACAAGTCATCATCACCGGGCTGGCCCCGGTTTAACCAGGCCGTCGTTGACAGGTCATCTGGGGGTCACGGTTAAATCAGGCAGACGTCCGCAACAACCGCGGTCCGGTATTCAGGTGTAAGAGGGGTCCATGCGTCACCAGAACACCGGAAGCGTAGATTTCCCGGTCAGCCACCACTAGAGCGCCCCAGTTCTCGCAGGTCAGACATCATCGAACCACCGACCTCGTCGGGGCACCCAAGGTCAAGCCCGGGTGGCAACAGCCAGGTCGAAACGCACCCATAACGGGCAACCGTAGCCGCGCACGTCGGACCTCACCATACAGACACCAAGGTCACGTCAATATTCGACGTCGGCCCCGCGTGGCAGATGCACGGCCTCCGGGGTCAGAGTATCACTGGAGGTCGCACGGGTCAAAAGTCACCGGAACGGCCTGGAGTCACTGTCACGCACAGCGTTCTGAACGCCCTCTCATACCGCAAGACGTGAAGAACACGATGTACTTGAAGAAGTTCGGCTGGCCGCGTAAGCTGCGCAGGCGGTGCTGTTCGCCGAACACGTGCATCTTCAAGGCCATCTGGGTGCTCATGGCGGACAGGATCAGACACTGGAGCAAGGCGGCGTTGACGGCCATGCTCGCCTGAAGCAGAGCACGGACGTCACTCCTAAACTACGAGCACACTCGCCAGCTGACTGACTGACGGAGACGTGCGCTGGACTGAAGGTCGGCTGCTGGGGAGTGAGTCCTGAGACCATGGCGGGCGCGGGCACGTCATTCGACTCACGGACAACAGACGGCGAGGTGACCGAGCCAAACATAGTCGAGAGGCTGCGCTGTGGCGGTGCAGCAGAAACTGCGCGCCAGACTAAGACAAGTCCACCAGACTAAAACTGAAAAACCGGCATTTGTCGCGTCACAGCGGATATGTGGAGATACAGTCAGACGGCAGCTGCTGCTGCTGTTTGAAGTCTGCCGTCACAGCCTTCAAGCCATGGGGTATCCCACCAGTGCATCAGGGGTGATGAGCGCCGGCTGCCGCAGCGGAGAGGCCACTGCTCACCCACCGTTTGGGGGGTGTCGCGGGCTGACACCATGAAGATGACCATGGCGGCGGTGAGCACGAACGCCCCCTGCAGCCGGAGGCCGGCCGGCACCGACGGCCGCCGCAGACAGTGCACCAGCAGCACGCCCAGCGCGTACAGCAGCGGCGGCAGCGACAGCAGGCAGCCGGTCACCACCGGCACGTGCAGCGAGTTCAGCACCGACTGCAGAGGCTGCAGGAGTGCGGCAGCGTCAGGGTGCACCGCCAAGCACCGGATCATGTTGGCGCGCGTCACGGGAAACGCGAGTGGTTTGCGTTCAAGATGACTTTAACCTGATCCAAAAGTTCAGAAAACGATGTGAAATGTCTTGCTGCGCGATGACAATGACAAAGCACGTGGTAGGAACATATCAAGCCCGTCTCCAACGAATTCAAGACGGGGTCAAGATGCGTTAACTGACCAGCTGGCTGCCATGTCATCACACATTTCCCGTCATGACGCACACAGCACGCGACCGCATCCTCTGCCCACTGACCAGCCGCGTCCACTGCCCACTTACCGATGGCGTCCGCTGCCCACTGACCGACCGCATCCACAACTCACTCACCGACCGCGCTTTGGTGAGCAGGGCCAGGGCGTAGGTGCCGAGTTCGCTGCAGCCGCAGCTGAAGCCGCGGTTGTCTGGCAGCACGGTGAGCGGGCAGGCGTCCAGGTGCCAGCGGCCGTCGGCCGCCAGCCGGGCGCAGCTGTGGCTCTGGGTCGACATGTTCCACTGGCGACTGAGCGGCTCCAGACGCAGCGAGACGTGCAGCGCCGGCGGCGACGGGCTCTCCAGCAGGCGCGGCCGCTTGCTGACACCGACCGAGACCAGCAGCGAGTCCAGCACGAACACGTCCCTGGAGCGGCCCAGGTCGCCGGCCCTGCCCGCATGGGCAGCAGGTCAGAGGCGGGGGGGGGGGGAGGCACCCACGGAGCAGATCGCTCCGGGCGCAGATCGGGCGCGGGCGGGGGAGGTGGCCGCGTTCGGACCGAACGTCCCTGAATAGCGCTGCCAACAAGGCCACACCGTCAGAGTACCTGACCTGACCTTTGACCTGATGACCGGTCATCCGCAGCCGAACGGCCCAGGGGCTCCGGCTGTATTGTCAGGGGCGATACTCGCCCGAAGTGAAGCCTGGTGCCCGTCTCAGCTGAACCCACCCGCACTTGCTGAGCGCGCTTAGGGCATTTGAGCGACAGCTGCAATGGCGCTATCACAGCACTGATGCGCGCTCAAGCGTTGCAAAGACATAGCTAAATTCACCACCTATGCCTCTGGAGTGGAACAAATCAAGAATGAATTGAATTCCAAAACTCGCCGGTGTTTTTGGCTAGGGTCGCTTGCCGTTCAGCAATTTCGTCAATAACCCGGAGCCAACTTTCACGTAACATCGTTCAGCATGCTGAGCATGCTAAACATTCAGTGTGATAAGCATGCTGAAGGTCTAAAGCATTCCACTGTGTATGAAAGCCTTTCATTCCAGTCACACTTTACTCCTCTTACCGACATCACTTAATTGAGTCTGAGATAAGAGCGCGTAGGAGCAAAAACAGATGAAATGCACAAGGCTCGGGCTCGTTCCAAAAAAAAGAGCCGGCTGCCAATGGCGGACAGAGTGACCCCGGAACACATCTGGCAATGGCGACCAGAGTGACTCCGGAACACATCTAGCAATGGCGACCAGAGTAACTCCGGAACACACCTCGCAATGGCGGCCAGGGTGACCCCGGAACACGCCTGGCAATAGCAGCTAGGGTGACCCGGGAGACGGCTGGTAATGGCGGTCAGGGCGACCCCGGAACACGCCTGGCAATGGCAGTCAGTGACCCCGGGAGACGTCTGGCAATGACGGCCAGGGTGACCCCGGAACACATCTCACATGGCGGCCAGAGTGACCCCGGACCCCGCTTGGCAATGGCGGCTAGGGTGACCCGGGCGAGGGAGGCAGATGAGAAGAGACTTACTTGCTGAGCGGTGTGTAGCCGCGCGGGAAGAGGGCGCGCGTGTTCCTGTTCACAGTCACCACCAGGCCAAGCTGCGACACCGGCTGCGGGTAGGTCTGCCACGACTCCTCCGGCAGGACTGACACCTCGGCAGACATCTCCAGCCAGCTCGGACGGCTGAGATTCCGCCCAACAGCAGCGTCAGTCTCAAGGAGAAACGGCGGGAGGCGGGAGGCAGGGCAATGTATGATATTCCTCTGTCATGGTGGGGCGGCTGGAGAATATCGTCATTCACAGCGTCAAATTAGAAGGTTGTATGTATTGCACGATGCTCCGAGTGCTCTCGGAGAGCCTTGGGCACGCCAGTCCAGCAGATGCGTTGGGCGACACGAGAGCCTCAGTCTTACCGATCAGCGCCGAACGGCACTTGGAGACGTGCCACGGACCCGTCGTAGCTGATCAGGCGCGTGGCGATGAACAGGTCGGACTCGGTGCTGTTCGAGTCGTCGTCGTCCTCCAGGAAGACCCGGCGCAGGAGGAAGTTCAACTGCACCGTCAGCAGCTGGAACTTCTCCTGAGGGCGGATCGCGCCAGCACAGCGATAAAAACATAAACCAGACTGGAACGTCATTCAAGGGCACCTGTGACCAAGCGCGCGACGTAATGACGTTGTGACGCTTTTAAAACCCCGGCTGGCGCTTTATGTGATGTCTAGCGTAACAGAGGTGATAAGATTCTGTTCGCATATCACTGATTCACATTCTCTGTTCACCTGGTCCGTCATGCAGGCGCCGTGCTCGTTGAGAAGTGGTGCAACGGAGCCGAGAAACAGCCCCTCCAGTTGCCCGAACCGCTCGTCCGGGGCGACCTTGAACATGTAGGCGGCCATGTGCACCAGCAGCCTGCGGAAAGCTTGCCACCTCGGCCGCCAGCAGGTGGGGCGGCTCCCGCTCCTGCGCCCGTTTCAGCCGCCTCCGCCACCAGGCGGCGCAGCCGTCGCAGCGCCGCCTCCGCCGAGATGACGTCATAGCCGGCCATCAGCTGATCCATCTGCCGCGTCAGTGCTCGTGCTGTCATACCTGGCCGTCGCCGACACACACACACACAGGCACACCCACAGGCACGGCGCGCTGGACATGACGCGGTACGAGGTGGTGTTCTGGTTAAGCTGCGTTTGCTGGGAAACCGGAGATTTGCTCTGGTTAAGCTGGGAAACCGGAGATTCGGGGCTCCACTCCCCGCGGTGCCCGCCATTCCTCCCAGTGTGGAGCATCGCCATATGGCATCGGCAGCCGAGTGCGTTGTAAAAACGAATGACGTGCGGTATTAAACAAGGCGTCGAAGTCGTGCAAAGGACAGGACTGCTGGTTATTAGTTACTCTAATGCTCGCGTCATATGCTTCAGACAATTCACTCGATTCCGCATTGACAAAAAGTAGGCAGTTACGTAAAAGATAAGGGTGTTTGCAGACAACGACCGAATGGACGTGGACGATGGAAGCATTACCTCACAGTGGGTGTCAATGCACCTTATCTCCTAATGTCAGATGAGAATGCGAATGTCGGGATGTTGGCCAGAGACAGCGGGAATGGGCTCAACGGTGAAAATGAATTGAATTTGAATTGCAAACCATGATATCATGCGATTGATTGTTTAGGAAATGTATTGCTCATCTTTTGCAACAAAAAACTTGATATCATACATTTCAAACATAGAATACAGAAGTATGAAAGCGCGTAACACGACAGCCTGTATGGCCAGAAGGATTACTGGGAAGCGATGAACATTTACGTTGCATGGTCGACATGCTGTCCCACCCAAAGCGTTTCCACTTCAACAATATGTGTGCAGGAAATGTCTTGGTTTCATCCCTAAGAATTTTGCTCTTGGTACACAATTTATCTTCTTCTTGTTCTTTTCATGGGGCCAAAAACCAGTTTCTTTAACTTATACATGCTTCTCAGCATGGGTTCACCGGGGTGGTGGTAGGAGGGGGGTGGGGAGGGGGGTGGGAAGGACAGTCTGTCATCAAGGAGCATCTCGGACGAATAAGGTGGCACTTGCCTCCCACGTAAACATGTTGAAACATGGCCTGCACTAGCCTAGACATGTCACAAGTATATTGCAATCGCAATGGGTCAATCCAAGTGCATTTGACATTTGCATGGGATTATCTTGCATTACGCAAGCTATAAACCATCTAAGAGGCACTGTATTGTTGTTTATTATAGGCATTTTCGATAGCCAGCCACATCATTGCACGACGCAGCTATCGCGTGGGTAGCTGCGAGCATACCTGCTTTTGCCAGAATGAAGATCTCAGTGTCGACGCAGTCCCCTTAAGTCTGGCTCGGCCCAGCTGGCCTGGGCTCTGCCCATGACCTCACAGCGCCTCGGCCGGGCGTAACGGGCCGGCACCGCCTGCGAAACACCAGAGCCGCACCCAGGCAAGGTTATCAGCAACGCCAGGTCCCTTCCAGGGTGCCGAAACAATCACCACCGTTGCCAGCTCCACGCGTCGTAATGACGCTCATTAACGGTTTCGAAACAAGGTGACAGTATAATGATTCTAACCGAACATCTTCAAGAGATGCGGCGGGATCCGGTTGAACTGAAAAGCCGTCGGCTGCATGGCTAGCCTCTCACCAACGCACGCCATTTCTACACGTATTCCCTCAGCCGTCTCCTTTCCAGTGTGAAGAAATGTGTTTTGCTCACGGTGAAAATAACGCCTGGAGCCTTGACAACCGGCCTTGACCATACGGATAATTACCTTGACCTTGACCATGCGGGCCATTCACCCTGACGTTGACCCTTCGGCCTTGACAATACACGTCATTCACCTTGACTTTGACCTTTCGGCCTTGACCGCGGGGGTCATACAGGTCATGCACGGGTCATTCACCTCACCTGAATTGTCTGTCCGGGGAGGACACTGTCCCTGAGGTGGTCAGGGCACGGCTGAATATCTTCCGTGTCGGCCACCGTACTCCTGCCAGGTGATGTCCCCCTCCGTGACCCGGGGGCAGGTCAGCGGCCGTGGGGCTTATCACGTTCACCCTGGACACTGGCATCGCTGGTCAGCGTCCCCAGCACCACATTGCACTCGTACTGCGCCGTCTGCGGGGAAGAAGAACAAGGCAGGTAGGTGAATGAAGGTCCAGAAGCACCCCCATCCGAAGTATTCTGTTTTTAGGCCAGGAAACCAGACAAGATGTCAACACAGCTGTGTAGTTCCTTTTTAATGGGGGGGGGGGGGGGGTTGTTAGGCCCTCTGAAACTTTGGACTTCAGCCCCCCAATTTTGAGCAGAAAATGGCCAAAATCCGGAATAAATTTGTTTTTTGGCATATTTTGGTGACGGAATTAGTCATTTTTCACTATTCAGCCACTGACCCATTTTGCGAAACTACGCCTAGTGTGAACAGCATACATACATATATACATATATCAGCCATAACCACCCCGAAACTAAAAAGTATTGGGATTCCTAAGTGGACAAAGAGTGACAACAGCAACACATGAAATAAAAAGAAGCGTGACAGTAACATCATATACAGTCACATAGTCACATATCAGAGATACCATACCAGAGATACCAGAGTCACATATCGTCACACACCATTTTATGGAGCACCAGCGTCTACGTTGGCCACATCAGCGCCCAGGGGCCATGGCACAACTGGGGTTCAGGCCCAACCGTTGATGCTCAGGACATTAACCACTCGACCATTGCCCCCCCCCCCCTTCCTTCCCACCCTGCCCTGAACCCGTGCTATTCGAAGCCGAAGGCGTGCCGGTGGTAACTAGTTTGGTCCAGCGTTGGGGAACTCAGGAGTATTTTGTAAGGGGTCGTTCGTATGCTACGCCACGCGTGGACGAGGAATGGGTTTTGCTGGAGCGTAATCGGAGCGTAACGAGGGGAGGGGATGAACAGCGTAACGGTACGCCTGGATGTGGTGGCTTCTTGTTTCACCTCTGTAGCTTAGTTGGGGGCCAAATGGGCGTTACTTTTTGGGACACTACGTTTAACACGGCGTGGAAGGTTCGTCCGGCGTAGCCAGTACGTAACCAGGGAGAGGGGCGTTGAAAATGGCAAAAAATACGTGATGTAACTTACAGAGGGCCCTTTTCTATCACATAAGCAGCCCAGTACCGCTCGGGGTATTTCACCTCCCGCCGCCACGCGGGTGAGATGAAAAAGCAGGTCTCTGTATGGTATCTTAAGACGCATTTGTCTATTCGGAGAGCAATTCAAATCGCTATAGATAGACCTGCACTCCCACACAGGAACCGCTATGTCGTGCAGTTGTCTTTACAACTCAGCAGGCGACTGATGACGCCGCATGTCACAAAAAGTACTTACAAATACCAAAACATGGGCCCTCCAGCAACCATAACTTTGGTCCCACAGCTTCGTAATTGCGTGGAATGAATAAGTCTGCTGCGATACCTTAGAAACATGCCGTGATGTAAACAACAATGAAAGATTAAGACCAGGTCAACATGTCATGTTAGGCGAACGTCATCTCGCCTGATCAAACATCATTTTCCTTATCTCCCTGTGCAGATCGCATAATAATTCATTGGTCCGAAAATGTGTCAGCTGTGCTGAATTGCTCATCGCAATTGGGTACAAGTTATTTTGGTTCGATGCTTCTGTAGCGAACTAAAACGGCCTTTCCCGATGAACTAGTGTGATCTCAAGTAGGGTGACTGACGCCGACTGACAGGCCCTATAGCCGAGGCCCAAGGCCCTATAACCCAAGGCCCTTCAACCCAAGGCCCTATAATAACGTTCAACCAACCAACGAGTTGAATCAAAAGAACTTACAACAAATTAAACTGCAAATGAATGCATTCAGAGAAAAATGTCCGTGCAAGTCAACAGAAATAACGGCATAACTTAATAGCTTGACCTAACACTAGGCATTGTTTGCGATGAAATGTGCAAAATCAAAGATAGGTCAGAAGCCAAAAATTTGATCGACCAAACTGGCATGATTTTTACATTGTGTTGGAAACGGAAAGGGGATAACTCATGCAGTCGTGCGTTGAATGTCAATTCAAATGGAATGGTGCAAAATATTAAAACAATTCAATTCAAGCTATCATTTTCCGGCTGGAGAGCTAGGCAGGCGGCATCAGATTAGAAAAGTACCCAGAGGCATCGCCGAAGAAAGGGATAGGGCCCGGTGGCCTCCCCGGAGCACAGAAATACTGCATGGTATAATCCAGAGTCTTTTTCTTAATGGTTTGGAGTCCCGAATCGACGACTTGCCCTTCCCACCACCCACGTACCAGTCAGCTTCCCCGCTATCCCGAACATTGGCTAGCCCTTCTTGGCACTGTCCTCGCCGTCATCGGGCCTTCACGACGCCCTCGCCTCCCGCGACTCTATGGCGACGCCTGCCTTTCTCCCTAGCAGAAAAGAAGGACATCGTGGCGAATCAAACCTTGTATCTCTGATTTCCCTGATGCGAACCAAAATTACCATACCATAACCACCCAAGTCTATGACGTCAAATTCAAATCCGCCCTTGGACCAGTTGCCCTTGCACCCTAACCATCATTCGAAACATATTCAACGATAGCCCGATGATTTTACGGGCTTTATCTTTTGATTGTATATGAATTGCTTTAATCGTATTTGATACCATTCACGATTTAATGATTTTATATTTTTAATGATTTCATAATCTAGTTTGATGATGATGCAGTTATTTTGGAAACTTTTCCCATTTCCCTGCTCCTTTGTCGTTTCATCACCAAAAGACGGAGTTCCGGGTTCACGTGAGCGTGACAAGGAGGCTACAACTCTGCACATCCCTAAAAATTAGAAAAAGATGATGGCTTCACAACATGCATTTATCCACAAATTTGGCAGTTTTTGTGACCAGAAATATATTTCCAGTTCATTTTGGGTAAGAATAGGTGGACGTCTTTACGAACCATCATGTACATTTATTTTTTTTTGGGGGGGGAGGCGGGGCATGTATTCTGTGCACCAGCACACATGACTGTGGAACCTGCGTTTGAGCGGTGGGCATGACCCAACAACCCAGCACAACACGACCATGGCCCAACATGACAAAATGTATCACTTCCTCCGTCATCTAGCATTCAAAGAGGCCGATGACCGCCATCCCTGAAGATCAGGCTGAGCCTCTCAGCTGGAGCGGGCGGCGCACAACGCCTGCACGCTGCTCCCTACCTGCGGATGTCGGATGATCAGGGTGGAATGCCCCCAGCAGTAGGTGACCACCTGTTCGGCCGGGTCCCGCCCGGTCAGCGGTCTGGGTGGATCGCGGCCCACCGCCTTGCTCCACGTGAAGGTGGCGCCTCTCATCCGTTTCATGAGCAGCGAGCAGGTAACGGTCGCGCTCCGGTCCTGGACACAAATGAGGCTGACAGTTATACGAATCACAATTCTGATAGGAACAAGGCAACTTATGTCAAGGTATGCATTCGTACATGTATGTCGTGTGTTGCATAAGGCTGCCTTCTCCTTTTCGAGCGGAACATTTACAACTTGGCGTGATGTCCCAAATATGTGGGAATAATTACTCGCAAAAACGGCCTTGAACATAACAAAAGGCAACGATCAATCCTGGTGCTTACACGAAGGAACGCAGACACGCTAGGACAGATCGACCATAATTTGTCGGGCATCAAAAGTCGAATGAGCCAGGTAGGCTTCGCAACGCACGACACCAGTGCTCGTGGATTTAACCTGTTTACGTCTTCGCTGTTGACCGGGACTTTTAAGAACTTGTTTGTACTCAATGAATGTAAGGCATCTTAAGATATCAGACCATCATTTTTACATACAGAGCACTAGTAGATCTATGCTCAGGTTCAGAAACATTACGTGGGAGGGGATGGGCAATGGACAAGCCCCAAAACCTTTTACCGTTCCCAATGAAAATATATGCAACGCTTCCCATCCGTTTCATTGTGGTAGAGGCAGCGCATCTCACCAGTCCCAGCGTTAGCGTTCGCAGCGCCTTTCACCCGGTCTCAGCGTAAGTGGCAGCAGAACTTCTCATCGGTCTTCATGTGAGCAACAACACCCTCTCACCCTTCTCGAGGGCAGCGTCAGCAGTACCTCTCACCGTCCTCAGGGTAAGCCAGGGGCAGCATGTCTCGCCGGTCTCAGTGCGAACAGCAAACAGCACCTCTCACCCTTCTCCGCGGCCGGTGGGCAGCAGTACCTCTCATCGTCGGTTCCTATGTGAGCAGCAGCATCAGCACCTTCCTCGGCGGCAGCGGCTGGCCGCAGCAGCGCCTCTCACCGGTCTCAGATGTGAACAGCAGCAGCAACCTCTCGCCCTTCTCGGCGGCAGCGGCTGCGGCGACAGCGCCTCTCACCGGGTCTCAGGATGAGAGTAGCAGCACCTCTCACCCCTCTCCGGCGGCAGCGGCCGCGGCAGCAGCGCCTCTCACCGGTCTCAGGGTGAGCAGCGGCGGTGAGACGCGCACGGGCAGGTGCAGCTGCTCCGGCAGTCGGAGGGTGACGGCCCGTCGCTGTCGGCTGTGGCCGTCCCGGCCACCACACTCGAACCGGCCCCTCGTCTTCGGGCGTGCGCTAGCCAGCGTCGCCGTATGGTTGAACTCCTGGACATCGTCCGCTCGGACAGAGTCCACGCTCACCGAGCTGTTCCTGTTGGCCACAGGTGACGGTGGCAATCTCCCCCACGACACTCATAGATTCGTTAGCTGCAGGAGCATGTGGAATGCATATCACGTGTCATGCACAGGAGAACTGAGTCCAGAGCATACGGCAGCGGCGCGGGACAGTTAGGGCAGGAACTGAGCCTGCCTAATGCATCACATGCATGGGTTCGTAATGCATTTGGGGCCCCGCAACATTTCGCCTTCTGTAAATCCTGAATGATTTGAAAGATGTGTTGATGTTTGTGCAACGTAGGCATGTTAGTTAAATATTCAACTGAATTCAAATGACCTTTTACAATAATTATATACGCTTTAGACCTTTAGTAAGACGCTGCGCTGTCACCATAGGCTGTCAATACACTTAATTCTTGTATATCAATGCGACAGTTCCCCATGATGATGTGAGCTAGCACCACATATCGCCGAATATTACATTCTGGCACTTATGGGTACATCAGCTAAACGAAACAAAGCGCAGGCTGCTTGACGAGGCGTCAAAACGATCTCGTATGCCGGCGGCGCATCGAGACAAGCCGATGACCGACCAGGATCGAGTTGAGACCCCGCGCGACGGCCGCTTCTAGCAGCGGTCAGGCGCGCCGAGCGCCGCCTGAACTGGCCGTCACAGGCGAGCGACACCGGCGTTGGGGCCCCTGGCACGACGGCCGTCACAGGCGAGCGACACAAACCCGGCGTTTGGGGCCCCCTGGCCAGACGGCCGTCACAGGTTGGGCGACACCCGGCGTTGGGCCCCTGGCCAGACGGCCGTCACAAGGTGGGCGACACCCGGCGTTGGGGCCCCTGGCCAGACGGCCGTCAAGGCGAGCGACACCGGGCGTTGGGGCCCCTGGCCAGACGGCCGTCACAGGCGAGCGACACCCGGCGTTGGGGCCCCTGGCCAGACGGCCGTCACAGGTGGGCGCTCGAGTTGCTGTCGTCACAATGCCCGTGAATCTGGGACGGAGCCGATAGAGGATGCCGTATCTCCCAGACAGACGCCGCCGCCGGGCACGCGGGGTCACAGGTCAGCGCCGCCACACGCCGCCTGCCGAGCAGCCCCGTCCACCCACCCGAACCCCGGGGGTCTCCAAAGACGTGCCGCGTTTTCACCGACTGTTGAGCCCCTGAGAGCTCAACAACGAACCTGAGATCGCTAAATGGCGGCAGTAATGAGATTGCTGAACGACGGCTTTGTCGTAGGAACACAATGCGAGGTGTGTTTACGAGCGGTGATAATCATGTCTCCTATTTCTTTGCCTCATCCTCCCATGATGTGCAGTGTAAAAAGCCATCTTGGCTGGGAACCCTTGGTGAATACACATCTGTATCTTTGGATGTAAAGCATATGCGCCACGCGGTATGACACTCAAGGCGTGGAATTCCATTTCCTACGATTTAAGTGCGAGTGGTATCGTCAGTTGTGCATAGAATGTGTTCGGACGTGATATGTTCAGCTCTAATCTTAAGGTCATGCCTTCATATCATTATACGATTTAGAATGCTGAGACCGGAAGCCAGAAAAAGCGAAACCTGCACTAAAAGTGACCTGGTGGGTTTGTTCCAAGCCGTCTTCCAGAACCGGATGACGCGTTAAGGGAACCTCGGTCCACGGCTGACCCGTGGCACTGTTTGGACCAAGTGCGCGTACTCGGGCTGGTTGCGGTCAGTAGGCCCATTATCCTACAACCTCTGCTGGCACTCTGCACGCAATCACATGGCTCTGAAAGGGAAACATGGAAGATTTAGATTTCTCACACGCTGTGTTTCAGGCGTACAGCCACACATGTCCGATATCGATAGTTTGGGGGCCCTTCCGTCCTCCGTGTTGGTGATTGGTGCCAGGGGTGACAGAAGTTCTCTCAAGTTTGTCCGTCCCGCTGGCTCAGTTGGTTAGAGCGCCTGCCTTCTGATTCACCCACCCGTGGCAGGGTGGGTTGGAGTCGCTTTAGGGCGCTCGCTATTTGCCCTTGGCAGATATGGCCTGCGGCCGGTGGCAGCGGTCGCACTAAAGGTCAGTTGACGTCAGAGGGCAGGACGGACCGTGTCGAGCATTGCGGCACGTAAAGCTTTCGACGCTAAAAATCCTGCCGTTGCCTGGAATTGCGCGATCGGATGGTGGGGGTTAGGGCTCACACAACAAGCGCTGCATAACGTGAGCGCTGATCCAAAAAATACATCCATTCAAAGGGTTCGAATCGAATTTTAAAAAAGGTTCAGGGATGACGAAAGGGTGAAGAGTTTGGCGCTCAGCCCTTGTTCTTTCCCCGCCTCCCTACACACAGGTTCCCCCGTCTCCCTGGTTAATATCAGTAGTTTCGTAAGTCCTCTGTCCCCTGTGCAGGCAGGTGATGCCATCCTTTCCAAAATTCCTCCGCCGTCTGGCCGGCCGGCAGCGCCGATGATTTGGGAACTCCGCCGTCCTCTGTACCGCTAGGTGGCGCTGACAGTCTCGCAGTTCTTCTTTCCCTTTCCCGACGGGTGGTCAACTGCACATTCGTTCTCAATAGAGGTAAACAATACTCCAGCATTTCCCCAGTCACCTGTTCAAAGGACAGTGATCCAGCAGTTATCCTGTACCTTATCCTGGTGGATATTACCAAAAGGCCGGCAGTTCCTCCGTTGTCGGTCCCACCGGGTGCTGCACTTAGGCCAGCAGTTTCTCAGACTTGTGTCTCGGTAGATGGCGTCTGTAGGTCGTAGTACGTTTCGCACGACATCTACCCCGGTCTTCTACAGCGGCGGGTGGTGCCGACAGACCGACAGTTGCTCTGTTCCCTGCAACGGCGTGTGGTACCGACAGACGCGCAGTGGCTCTGTCCCCTGCCACGGCGTGTGGTGCCAACAGACCCGCAGTGGCTCTGTCCCCTGCCACGGCGGGTGGCGCCGACAAACCGAAACTTCCTCTGTCCCTTACAACGGCGTGTGGTGCCAACAGACCCGCAGTTGCCCTGTACCCTGCCAAGGCGTGTGGTGCCGACAGACCCGCAGTTGTTCTGTCCCCTGCCACGGCGTGTGGTGCCGACAGACCCGCAGTTGTTCTATCCCCTGCCACGGCGTGTGGTGCCGGGAGACCCGCGGTTGTCCTGTCCCCTGCCACGGCGGTTGATGCCGACAGACCCGCGGTTGTCCTGTCCTAGCGGGCGCGGTCGGTATGGTCCGGCAGTGTCTGGTGTCGACGCTCGTGGGACGGCTGACGCGTCAGACCCTGCGTCCGGCACGAGTCCGCAGTGAAAGCCGAGCCGGCCGCCGGACGGCGCCGAACGCGTCTCCGGCTATCAGCCGACCCGGGGCAGCGGCGCAGGGTGGGGGAGGGGGGGCAGCCCGGCGCCGCCAGGCGCCTCCAGAACGTCACAAAACACGACCCGGTCGCGTCATAGCCCCGTGTACACGTGCTGCTCTGCACACGTGCCCCCATAACTCTACAAGTCTGGCATTTCAGAGCGTAACTGCGCGACGGCGTTGAAAGTGCTGTAGTAATAAATTGCCCTCCTGGTTAAATGTCTTTGTGATAACCCGACGAGTGCTACGTTTGCTACGACGAGTGCTACGTTTGCTACGACGAGTGCTACGTTTGTTACGACGAGCGTTACTCTAACATTTTGTCAAAACACGAACAAACGAGCTTGCTTCGAATCATTGACGCCCCACGCCATTGAAAATGAGCAACATCCATCACTATTGCTGTGGTAAACTCGTTTTATTCATCGTTTCTACGGAATAATTTCTCCATTCCCATAAGACACCTCTCAACTGCGCCGATCGGCGAGCGCATGTTACAGAGATAACACGAGATCGCTCGCAGGACGGGCGTCTGATGGATCAGGTTCGGTCACAAGACCAGCACAAGTCTTCGGGGGCAGCCGACCGTCCAGCGTCAGCAGGCCGCCGTCCACTCAACGCCGCGAATACCATAATATTGACACACGCCCAGCGGCCCGGCGGACGGCCGCCGGCGCCCGCCTTACGGGACCTCCTGCCCCGCGCGAGAGCTGAAGGGCCCAGCCTGGCTGCCCATGCCCGTCTGACGGGAGCTCCTGCCCCGTGCAAGAGCTGAAGGGCCCAGCCTGGCTGCCCGTGCCCGTCTGACGGGAGCTCCTGCCCCGCGTGAGGGCTGAAGGGCCCAGCCCGGCTGCCCGTGCCCGCCTTACGGGACCTCCTGCCACGTGCAAGAGCTGAAGGGCCCAGCCTGGCTGCCCGTGCCCGTCTGACGGGAGCTCCTGCCCCGCGTGAGGGCTGAAGGGCCCAGCCTGGCTGCCCATGCCCGTCTGACGGGAGCTCCTGCCCCGCACGAGAGCTGAAGGGCCCAGCCTGGTTGCCCATGCCCGTCTGACGGGACCTCCTGTCCCGCACGAGAGCCGCAGGGCCCAGCCCGGCTGCCCGTGCCCGTCTGACGGGACCTCCTGCCCCGCGCGAGAGCTGAAGGGCCCAGTACGGCTGCCCACGCCCATCTGACAGGACCTCCTGCCCCGCGCGAGAGCTGAAGGGCCCAGCCCGGCTGCCCGTGCCCGTCTTACGGGAGCTCTTGCCCCGCGCGAGAGCCACAAGGCTCAGTACGGCTGCCCACGCCCGTCTGACGGGATCTCCTGCTCCGCGCGAAACCTTTCAGGGCCCAGTGCGGCTGCCCACGCCCGTCTGACGGGACCTCCTGCCCCGCGCAAGAGCTGCCTGTACCCGGCACGGCTGCCAGCAGCCCGTCTCCGTCGCATCCAGTTCGTGGGGTCCGTGTGCGGTCTCTGCCCTCTACAAGCAGCATGTTCACCGCTCAGCCTCTCTCACTACTGAGCGGCGAAGCCACAGCAGCCGCTTCTCGTAACCTCA